AAGTGGCAATGGGAGGCTTTTATTTTGAAATTTGCTGTGGGGTGTGTTTTGAAAAACCCCTAGTCTCATTTTTTTTAAAAAGTGGTTGAGTTTGGGTCATAATGTTGAGCCATATGCTGGGAAAAAAATATGAGTTTAATGTAGGGGCTTTTATTTTGAAGGGTCCCCGGAGTCTTATTTTGAAAAACCCCTAGTCTCATTTTTTTTTAAAAGTGGTTGAGTTTGGGTCATAATGTTGAGCCATATGCTGGGAAAAAAATATGAGTTTAATGTAGGGGCTTTTATTTTGAAGGGTCCCCGGAGTCTTATTTTGAAAGTCTATCAGGGTTGCGTGTGAAGGGAAGGGTCATGGTCAGTAGTCATATTGTATCCACTTCCTAATGTTAAATCAGTGTTGTCTCCCTCCATTAGATTAAAATGTGCTGTTTAAAGTGGTGGAGGTAAAATCCTTTGAAGCACGGTTACCTTGACAACGTTAACGAGCCTGTCAGTGAGAGAGAGACATGCGCATCACTTTCGTTCCTTAGTTCTCAGGCTTTTTTGAATGGGATTATCAGCTCCGAACAAACGAGTGCTGAAGACAAACCGTAAATGGTATCTAAAAAATTATTTCAGTCTAAGCGAGAGCTATCCTTTGTCTCCGATTGGGGTAACTTTCATGGCTGTAGCTCATTCATAACCTTAATGGGAAGGAGGAATAAAAAGGTTTGAGAAATCCTGCTGGTCTCATTGATTAACATGCAGCACAATGGTAGAGCAGAACTCTCAAAAGCAAAACTTTCCCTCCGAACAAACGAGCGGTGAGCCAAAACCGTATTAGGTATTCAAAAAATTATTTCACCGTGAGCGTCAGCCATCTTTGGACTACAACTGGTATGACTTTCATATTTCTACAATATTTCGTCTAGGCGTGGTGACGATGTAAAAAAGTGTATAATTGTCAAAATCTTGATTTTGGGGTTCGGACAGATTTGTTACCCCCGAACAAACCTTTTTCCTAGCTAAACGATAAAAGATATCGACACACTTCCTTCAATGTGAGTGCTAGGAAGGTCTGAGGAACAACTTCACCAAGGCTCATGTTGCTACGTCGAACGGTTCCCGAATGGGAGCGATACGAAAAAGTCTGTTTTTTTGAATTTTCAGTTCGGATTTTCAGAGAGCTCTCATTGGCTTTCTATTGGGGAAGTGTGGACTTCTTCGTGGTCTGGGTCAAACTGTCGGAAAACCGTAAATGCCACACAAATGAGGGTTACATTTCCTGAATCCTGACAAAAATCCCTACGTTTTGATGTAAAATTTATCTAGATAGAGTAAAAAATGAGCGAGTGAGTTGAAGCTGTTCGGCATGAGTGAAATGTTTGAAAACGCTAGAGTGGCACACTCTAGCAGCTGAACATTCCGTCCATAGACTTCCATTATAAATTTGAAAATCTGTAAAAAATGTTTAAAAGTTTGAAGCTTCACTGAAGCAAAACTGTAAAAGTTAGCTGAAAGCCGAGTTAAACAGTAATAGCAGAAAGATACGGAAACATTTTAAAAGTTGAATGGTGTTTCTAGCTGAAAGTATGCTGAAGTAGTTAAAGGGCAAAGTAGCTGAAGATTTAGTGGAATTTTTGAAGTTTTACATGCATTTTAATGGGGCCAAAAATCGCAGAAAAAGCTGAATATCGCGAAAACTACGAACAATATCTTTACCAAAAGTCATAGCAGAATTCTCCTGAACAAGCTGAACGTTTTGATACCAAATTTGTTTAAATCAGCTGAAAACTGTTGAACTAGTTAAACGAAGAAAAACCTACGGAATAATAATAATAATAATAATAATAAAGAAAAACAGAAAAACAATAAGTGGGAATGCATAAGCATTCCCACTTGAAAACAGAAAAACAATAAGTGGGAATGCATAAGCATTCCCACTTGACTAGAAAAAGCTGTTTCGGAGAAACATCAAAGTGGGAATGCTTTTGCTGAATGAAAAAAGCTGAAATTAACTGCAGAACATATAAAAATGTGATAGGAAGTCATTAGAAACTTCAAACTGCAGAAAACAATTGAATCATCTGAAGATTTTATAGGGTAGAAACATCTGGCAGTAAAATGGCAGAAACAAACTCATCTTAAAAGCTGCACAGTCAAACCATACATGATATCAAAAAATGTTGATCAGCATAAAGAAAACAGTGTCATCATTTGAGGATTGAAAATTTACAAACCTATGTGCAAGACTAACCATGAGAAGCAGAGGAAGGACAGAGAGAGAAGCTTATAGAAAGAGAGCTAATACCACTTAAGGAGCTGAATTTATAAAAAAAAAAACTAACCTGCATAATACGAGCCGCTGTGGTGATGAAAGCACAGTTGGCAGGCTTAGGCTGCATGTTACTAGGTTAGCAGATGCTTTATTACAGTGTAAATCTTAGAGCCTTATTAAGAAATGTAAACTGAGGTGTGTGGTCAACAGGCCTTGGTAGTGTAATTTGAAGAAATTGGTTGACTTTGGGTCATAGCTACAAGCCATACTGCACAATGAATGAGTGTGCATAAGGAAGAGGCTTTTATTTTGTAGGGTCCCTTTAGTCTTATTTTGAAAGTCTATCATGGATGTGTGTCAAGGGAAGGGTCATGCCCAGCAGTGATATAGAATCCATTTCTAAATATGAAATCACTGGTTTTCCATGTTATTGGGTGAATAGATAATATATTAGAGCATAAATGGGAGACTTTTATTGTGAAATTCGCTCTGGGGTATGTTGTGAAAAGGTCCCTAGAGTCTAATAGAATCAAGCTGGTAGAGTTTGGGTCATAATTCTGAGCCATTTGCATCAATTAATACACAAGTATAATATAGAGGCTTTTATTTTGTAGGGTCACTGGAGTCTTATTTTGAAAGTCTAGCAGGGTTGTGTGTTGAGAAAAGGGTCAGACCCAGCAGTGATACTTGATGACTTTTCAATCCTTAAATCACTCTTTCCCCCTGTTATTAGGGCAGTAGATGAAGTGGAAATGGGAGGCTTTTATTTTGAAATTTGCTGTGGGGTGTGTTATGAAACCCCCCCTAGAGTATAATTTTAAAAAAGTCGTTGAGTTTGGGTCATAATGTTGAGCCATATGCTGGGAAAAAAAATATGAGTTTAATGTAGGGGCTTTTATTTTGAAGGGTCCCCGGAGTCTTATTTTGAAAGTCTATCAGGGTTGCGTGTGAAGGGAAGGGTCATGGCCAGTAGTCATATTGTATCCACTTCCTAATGTTAAATCAGTGTTGTCTCCCTCCATTAGATTAAAATGTGCTGTTTAAAGTGGTGGAGGTAAAATCCTTTGAAGCACGGTTACCTTGACAACGCTTAACGAGCCTGTCAGTGACAGAGAGACATGCGCATCACTTTCGTTCCTTTCCTCTCAGGCTTTTTTGAATGGGAATAGCAGCTTCGAACAAACGAGTGCTGAAGACAAACCGTAAATGGTATCTAAAAAATTCTTTCAGTCTAAGCGAGAGCTATCCTTTGTCTCCAATTGGGATAACGTTCATGGCTGTAGCTCATTCACAGCCTTAATGGGAAGGAGGAATATAAAGGTTTATAAATCCTGCTGGTCTCATTAAATAACATGGAGTCACATGGTAGAGCAGAGCTCTCAAAAGCAAAACTTTCCCTCCGAACAAACGAGCGGTGAGCCAAAACCGTAATAGGTATTCAAAAAATTCTTTCACCGTGAGCGTCAGCCATCTTTGGACTACAACTGGTGTAACTTTCATATTTCTACAATATTTCGTCTAGGCGTGGTGACGATGTAAAAAAGTGTATAATTGTCAAAATCTTGATTTTGGGGTTCGGACAGATTTGTTACCCCCGAACAAACCTTTTTCCTAGCTAAACGATAAAAGATATCGACACACTTCCTTCAATGTGAGTGCTAGGAAGGTCTGAGGAACAACTTCCACAAGGCTCATGTTGCTACGTCAAACGGTTCCCAAATGGGAGCGATACGAAAAAGTCTGTTTTTTTTAATTTTCAGTTCGGATTTTCAGAGAGCTCTCATTGGATTTCTATTGGAGAAGTGTGGACTTCTTCGTGGTCTGGGCCAAACTGTCGGAAAACCGTAAATGCCACACAAATGAGGGTTACATTTCCTGAATCCTGACAAAAATCCCTACGTTTTGATGTAAAATTTATCTAGATAGGGTAAAAAATGAGCGAGTGAGTTGAAGCTGTTCGGCATGAGTGAAATGTTTGAAAACGCTAGAGTGGCACACTCTAGCAGCTGAACATTCCGTCCATAGACTTCCATTATAAATTTGAAAATCTTTAAATTTTCTTTTAAAGTTTGAAGCTTCACTGAAGCAAAACTGTAAAAGTTAGCAGAAAGCCGAGTTAAACAGTAATAGCAGAAAGATACGGAAACATTTTAAAAGTTGAATGGTGTTTCTAGCTGAAAGTATGCTGAAGTAGTTAAAGGTCAAAGATGCTGAAGGTTTAGCTGAATTTTGCTGAAATCTAAGAATTCTACATGCATTTCAATGGGACAAAAAAAACGCAGAAAAAGCTGAATATCGCGAAAACTACAAAAAATATCTTTACCAAAAGACATAGCAGAATTCTCCTGAACAAGCTGAACGTTTTGATACCAAAATTGTTGAAATCAGTTGAAAACTGCGGGACTAGTTAGAGTCAGAAAAATTAAAAGTGAAAAACAATAAGTGGGAATGCATAAGCATTCCCACTTGATTAGAGATATCTTAAATCGCTAAAACGTCAAGTCATAAAACAATTTGAGATATCTTGAATGTAAAGGCAGTACATTCGAAGTTATGTTAAAATGGCTTACCATAGAGCTGATGCCCTTATGTATCAACCTGGAGATGATTTGCTCAGACTCTTCTGCCCTGAAATTCAAACTAAAACATGACATCCTTTACTTACCTTGTTTACAGTGTTTCTGTTCTGGTCTCTGCTTGATTCGTTAAATCTTCTCTCTAATCTGCGGGTGTTTTTTTTCCTCAGTGTGTAAGGACAGTCCTCTGGGGGGGCTGAACTACTGCGTGCAGGAGAAGATCCGAGTCCGAGTTCACATCCGGACCTTCAAAGGGCTGAGAGGCGTTTGCTCCGGCTTCATCGTGGCCTTCGATAAATTCTGGAACATGGTGAGCCGACGTTAACAAATCTTTCTTATGTCTGATCAGCAGATGATCAATGTTTGGTTACGTCTCGTTTGCAGGCGATGGTTGACGTAGATGAGACGTACAGAGAGCCGCTGCTTGGAGAAGCCCTGTACCATGAAAAAGCCCTCACCATTTCACGGGTATCTGCTTCATGTTTCTAATTTCTCTTTTTTTTTTTCTGCTAAACATCGATATAAAGAATTTTGTCAGTTGTAGATTTTTCTTTATTATGAAGTCAGAATTCTGCCAAAACTGAACACACATAAAAAAATACTTAAGCTGTGTCCGAATGTCCGCCCTAAACACTAAATAGGGCACTATAGCCCCATTTACACCCCCGTCTGAGAACCGATCTTTGCCAAGCTTTGATCCTTACATCCTTTTACCCATCAGGCTAACATGGTTCCCCAGACCTGCCTATTGCTCTGTTCGAAAACCTAGGACGCGTCCTTAGAAGGCCAGATTCGAAGGCCGATTACGTCATAGCGCAGCGCCGAGGTCTGGTCGGATTCCAAGAGTCCTCGTTATGAGGCCTTAAAATGCGTCCTTCTTTTTGCCTGATTTGAAGGACGGGTCCGATGTATCCTCGGTATTCTTGGTTTATTCAGGATTCATTGCGAGACCAAGCAAGCCGGCTGCGAACAGTGGTGAAAATTGGAAGTTCAGTTTAATATAATCCAGTCTGTGAATAGTTCCATCTGAAATGAATGAAAACAGTTGTTTTAATGGTTATTGAGTCAGATATGTGGCGGTAATGTTTGATTTATCTAAAAGTTTTTATCTGTTACTGTGTAAATGGGTTTGGCTGGAATTTAAGGACAGATTCTAATATATCTGCAGTGCGAGGACTATAAATCTGATAATAATTTAATTTTTTTATTGCTGTTTTGCACAATATGCTTGACTAAGATTTTTTTGTTGTTGAATATTAGAGATTTTGCAGATATATTTTTTTTTATACATACATTGTTTCGATTTACTTATCTTTCTACCCCTTTTATAGAATAGAAGAGAAAATCCCTTCATTGTCCCACAATGGGCAAATTTACAGCAGCAGAAAGATTATTGAAAATGGTCACACAAATGAGGACCTTAGAAAAATGTATAAGAATAACATAATAGGGAAGAGTTAAAATATAAACAATAAAATACTGTAAAGTGTTTTAACAATATAAAACTGGGGAATAAATAACCAATATGCAGCTATGGACATTTTTGCAGTAATGGATATTTGAAAATAGCAGCAACATCAGAGATGTGCAGAATGACAGCAGCAGGTTATTTAACTGACTAAGGTTTCTATCGTTTCATTTGATTTGATCTGTTCCTGCTCCCGGTGGTTGGAGCCTTTATTCCACTCTGGATTCTTGTGAGTGTAGTCTTTGTTCACTTCACAGTAAAAAAGAAATAAATAAACAAACAGTTTTGAAAACTTCGGTTTTCATTCTTTTCCTGCTTTGTGTGTCAACTTTCATGGTTGCTAAGCAACAGAGCATACGGCGGTAAAACCCGCCGAAGGGTAGACCTGGTTGAATTCTCAGCCAAAACTCTTCCGGTCTCCTTATTTTCAAGGACTTGGAAGGATCCAGTCTAGGTAGACCGCGTCCTTGGAGGATGCAGCCCAGGTTTTCGAACAGAGCCTATGTCTCTGGGTATGGAGCATTGCAGGCTAACAAAAGAAGCCAAACGGACCCCATTCCAAAGGGCCGGACCCGTGCGTCAGTGTCGATTAGCTCAGAGCCGTTTCTTTCTTTAGATTACACACTATATACCATAATGTTAACATGGAAAGGAAACATAAAAGTCAAAAAGACTAGATTTATGTTTAAATCCAAAGCTGAAAATGTTAGCTCCCAGAAGTAGTGTAGGTACCCATTTCCGGTAAATGCATTATGAATAATTAAGTTTGTGAAGCCGGAGTATTTCACTGAAGCGTTAAGTATTTTTAAGTAAGTTGTCAATAAATGCCAGAGATGAGTGTTGGATATGAAGTCATTAACTCTACTCTTGAAGAGAACAGCCATTAGCCTGAACATGCTTTGCTAACGTTACCGTCACCTTCTGATCCATCCTGCGCGAACAGATATACACTATATTGCCAAAAGTATTTGCTCACCCATCCAAATTATTGGAATCAGGTGTTCCAATCACTTCCATGGCCACAGGTGTATAAATTCAAGCACCTAGGCATGCAGACTGTTTTTACAAACATTTGTGAAAGAATGGGTCGCTCTCAGGAGCTCAGTGAATTCCAGCGTGGAACTGTGATAGGATGCCACCTGTGCAACAAATCCAGTCGTGAAATTTCCTCGCTCCTAAATATTCCACAGTCAACTGTCAGCTGTATTATAAGAAAATGGAAGTGTTTGGGAACGACAGCAACTCAGCCACGAAGTGGTAGGCCACGTAAACTGACGGAGCGGGGTCAGCGGATGCTGACGCGCATAGTGCGAAGAGGTCGCCAACTTTCTGCAGAGTCAATCACTACAGACCTCCAAACTTCATGTGGCCTTCAGATTAGCTCAAGAACAGTGCGCAGAGAGCTTCATGGAATGGGTTTCCATGGTCGAGCAGCTGCATCCAAGCCATACATCACCAAGTGCAATGCAAAGCGTCGGATGCGGTGGTGTAAAGCACGCCGCCACTGGACTCTAGAGCAGTGGAGACGCGTTCTCTGGAGTGACGAATCGCGCTTCTCCATCTGGCAATCTGATGGACGGGTCTGGGTTTGGCGGTTGCCAGGAGAACGGTACTTGTCTGACTGCATTGTGCCAAGTGTAAAGTTTGGTGGAGGGGGGATTATGGTGTGAGGTTGTTTTTCAGGAGCTGGGCTTGGCCCCTTAGTTCCAGTGAAAGGAACTCTGAATGCTTCAGCATACCAAGACATTTTGGACAATTCCATGCTCCCAACTTTGTGGGAACAGTTTGGAGCTGGCCCCTTCCTCTTCCAACATGACTGTGCACCAGTGCACAAAGCAAGGTCCATAAAGACATGGATGACAGAGTCTGGTGTGGATGAACTTGACTGGCCTGCACAGAGTCCTGACCTCAACCCGATAGAACACCTTTGGGATGAATTAGAGCGGAGACTGAGAGCCAGGCCTTCTCGTCCAACATCAGTGTGCGACCTCACAAATGCGCTTCTGGAAGAATGGTCAAAAATTCCCATAAACACACTCCTAAACCTTGTGGACAGCCTTCCCAGAAGAGTTGAAGCTGTTCTAGCTGCAAAGGGTGGACCGACGTCATATTGAACCCTATGGATTAGGAACGGGATGTCACTTAAGCTCATATGTGAGTCAAGGCAGGTGAGCAAATACTTTTGGCAATATAGTGTATATCTGGGTGTCCATAAATAATCTAATTATGGTACTAAAATTACTTATTTCTATCCTAAACTCACTAAAGAATGCTAATACACATCTTTAAAAAAATGTTTTATGAATTCTCTGAGACAATTTTGTTGCTTTTTACATTTTCTTCGTTAAACTCCTTCTCTGGTGTCATCATCCGACGTGCTCAGAGCATTCCTGCAACATGTGATTAAACCATTGTAGTTGTTTCTTTCTTTAGATCTCGCTCTATATACCATAATGTTAACATGGAAGGAAAACGTAAAAGTCAAAAAGAATAGATTTATGTTTTAATCCAAAGCAGAAAAAGTTAGCTTCTGGAAGTAGCATAGGATCCCATTTCCAGTGCAGATCGGCCACAGAGGAATGATAAAACAGGATTTTAAGGCTTTTTTTTCTCAGGAAATACATTATTAACCTTTAACACGTTATATTTTAGTAGGCTTAATATTTTGGGGGAGGGGAAAATTTCATTTAGGTCTTTTTAACAAAATAAAATCGAGGGCGACCTGGGTTTATATCTGGATGCGCAAATGAGCTGATGGCGCATTCACAGAACGGATCGAGCTTCTGGGACGGATCAGGAAGTGACAGCAGCTTCTGGGAAGAAAGCAGAGCTTTCTAAAGAGGCGGGATTTCCTCCAATGTAACCAATCACAGGCAGTTTACTTTCTGGGGTTGGTTGAACCTTCAAAGTGACAAAAAGTTGAGATGAGAGCAGAGAAACAGGACCACAGGAGCATAAAACGCAGAGAATTAGCATGGATGGTTGGGACACATGATGTTTTCCTGTTTATGTTTTAAATTAAAAAGCATTTATTTTAGCATCATATCAAGCTTTCATTGTCTGTTTGCCAGCTTAGCAATAGGAACTAATGTAAAGTCCGTCTATTTTCCTCCTGGAAGTCAAACTTGATCCCCTGAATTTTCTTCAGATTATTTCTCAATAAAAATCTGTTTTTTTTTCCCACCAGCAGTAAAAAAATAAACGTCTTTTACGGCATATTTAGTTCATAGATTTTAAAGGCGTTCCTTTGCTTTTATCGACAAACGTTAATCCCAGCTAATCTCTGTCCAGCTCTTCGAGAAGCTGAGTCTGCAGGAAGGTTTGGGATCCAGCAAAAAGCCCGCCGACACCACGGATGGCAGCAGGAGAACACCATCAGAGTGCGGCGAAAGCAAACCGGACAAAAGCGACGTCTCGGCGTACGGGAAGGTGCACACGCGCCACATCAACCAGCTGTTTATCCGTGGTGAAAACGTTATCCTGGTGAACCCGCAGCCTCTCTGATGCCTTTTCTTCTCATACTAAACAACAGATTCCGGTGAATCGATGAGCTGTTATATCATATTGATATGAAAAACCAGAGAAATTATCCTTTCAGTGAAAAATAAAGGTCTCTTTATTGTGATGAAAGTCTGTGTGTTTTCTGTGTTCTGGTGGTGGGCCAGCAGGTGGCAGCAGAAACCCACAGCAGCCATCTGTGAGGCTATTGTCATGTGGAGAAGCTTGTCCCTTTATGTTGCTTTTCCCGTTAGTTTGAACAGGAATGACAGCGCGGTCTCAGCGGGCTTCATAAATGCATTATGAATAATTGAGTTTGTGAAGCTGGAGATTGCAGATGGCACTCAAAAGCTGTCATTTGTCTTGACGTCTCAGATTGCTTTTTACTCTTTAATGGGCACATTACCCATAAAAGCACAATTTACTGCATCTCGTGGAAGTTGTAAAGATGTTGCTCTGTTGTTTTTTTTTTTCCTTTTTCTTTTTAAATGACGACGTTTATCTGGGATGATCAGCGGATGCTTGTCTGCATATCTGCAACTTTTCTTATTTGGGTTTCATATCATTTTCTCTGCACAGAAGAAATGACCCTCTTCCAGTCTCTCAATATATATATATATTTATATATTTAAATGTCACAAGTGGGGCATCTTCTCTCATTAGTTTAGCTTTTGTTCATTACTGTATATACTGTTACACTTGATGTAATGTATCAGAATATTATTAGTGTAGCCCATTTAACAGGCCTCTCCAGAGAGGGAAAACGGGGTCAATTGTTTAATGCAAGCCGTGTTTGTCGCACAAGTGTGCTCAAACAAATCTTGACACCATATAAGAAGGGCGCAGCGCCGGTTTTAAAATGACCCAAAATTAGATTATACTTTCTACGTCTAAATTACACCAGAGAAATCACTTCTCTCTACAAGAAACTAGAATTTTTAAAGAGTTTTTTTTCTCCAGGCTACAGAAGCTAAAAGAAGCTTTAAGTGGTTTTTCTATCAGCTTCAATGTACAAAACCCTGCAAAAAGCAATTAAAGCCTTTCCACATGATCATCTACTTTAATTTATCCTGATTTATTGTTATAGACCAACAAAGAAGTGCACAGTTGTCCAATCAAAAAAGAATAAAAAAAGTAGCAAAAACTAAGCTTTTGAGGTCACCTGTCTAGTAAGCAGGGTCCATCTGTCATTTAATCTTTTAATAAATCAGCTGTTTTGTAAAGGACTCAGAGGTTCATTACAGCAAAGTTGTGTAGAAGTTTGTAGGTTTTCACTGTGTCCTATCATCTGTGTTTAGTCCATCTGAAAATGGAAAAGCAAATTTATTTGACAGGATGTGCAAGAAGAATGTGAAGTAACCAGGGGCGGTTCTAGAGGGGGGCCAACAGGGGCCCATGCTCCTGTAGAACTGGTTATCCTCCCACAGCTGTGTCGCAGTGAGCTTGTCACAGATATTTTTGATTTATGCCCAAGTTTGAAGCACAGTCTGCACTATGTTATTCCACGCCACAACGCAAGAGGTACAATCACCAACTAGCTGTGGGTCTAGATAAGGCCGTGGCGGTGAGGAAGTGGAAAAACGCAAGTGGCAAGTTTGTGACAACGGTGGGACATCAGGGCCAAAAAGAGCGGGGATCCCAGTGAAAAAGGGTCCCAGCGTTCTCGCGCTCCTCGCTCTTCTAGCTGGTCCATCTTCACAAGTCGTTTTCCACAATGGTGGTCATACAAACAAAACAAGCCGGTAATACACTATGGGCCGGATCTATCAAAGGTTTGCGTGTATAAAAACGTGAGCTATTTCACTGCGCACGCTAAAAAATGTACAAACTGATCTATCAACAGCGTGCTAAAAGATTTGGTCTTTAAAACGTGCTAAATAGCGCCTCTTATCCATTTAGTACTTTTTCTGCAATGAATATGCAATAATTTTGCTAACGGTATCTGACTCTATATTTAACACGTTTCAAAAGAAGGTGCAAATGGTCTGTATGCGTAATTGCGCACACATGGCAGCGGTTATTGTCGCAAGAAGGAGACATGGAAATGAAGCAAGGAGATGCAGAGAACGCATTTTTTCACTCCGTGTGAATATTTTGGAATGAACGAGGAAACGATCATCAAAACATATCGTTTATCCAGCATTGCCATTTTGGAGCTGTTGGGGGAACTCCGAATGGATTTGGAGCCAGCCACAAGGAGGACCCACGCAATACCAGATACCACAAAACTCCTTGCAACATTGCACTTTTTTGCATCTGGGTCATTCCAGCGTACGGTTGCAGCGAGAGCTGGGATCTCCCAATCTCGTTTTTCAGAAGTGCTGTCCGACGTTCTAAATGCCATGTCGCCCTGACGCCCTACTGGAGAACCCCAACCTCCTCCTTGCGCCTGGGAAGCAACAGGCCAATGCTGCGGGGATGCGTACGCGCAGTAATCTCATCCACAGTCACTTCTTGTGAGCCATTTGGTATGTGCATTTTTTTACAGGCCAATACAAAACACCTGTTTTTTGTTTTTTACTGCAGTGAAGTAGAAATTCAGCCACATACCACCTTAGGGAATAAAGGTTGCCAAAGTTTATATTTATATATATATATATATATATATATATATATATATATATATATATATATATATATATATATATATATATTTTTTTTTTTTTTTTTTTTTTGGAGGGGGTGGGGGTGTCACTGTAAGATTAAAATTTCTTAATGCACTAGTTTGCACAAACTACAAACTACTTTGCCGCAAACCACAAAACGCGCAAAACCATCATTTAAATAGGGCGTCTCCAACAGTTTTGCACCTGCCACCAGTTACGCAATCGCTCTTGTTAAATCACCCGCAAACCATGGTTCAGCCCCTCGCGCAAAATTCCAGTTTGCGAGCGCAAATTACTGCACGCAAAATTGGATCTTGATAAATCCGGCCCTATGCGTATTACCAGAGCGGATGTAGATTTGACCAATCGCATGCCTCCTGTCTGCGGTCACCTACGATTTGGGAGAGGTGCAGCAGAGTGTCTGGGGAAGGGGTGGGGCACATCTGCGTTCACTGCAACACACGCAGACGACCTGGTTTCTGAGCATAAATCGGCCTTTATGTCCCCCTGTACTAAAAACATACAATGCATCAACTTTTCTTTAATTAAGTGTATTTTCTATTAAAATGAGCAGGTAAGACAATTTGCCAATACAGCGCAAAAAAATTATATCTAAGTAATTTTTTTCTGAAAATAAGTGCATTTTTTCTAGAATTGAGGAGGTGAGACACTTTCCCAATGGAACAAGATGATTTACATTTAAAATAAGAAAAAGCAACTGCACTTATAAGTGCATATTATCTAATTATCTTATTTTAAAAGTAAAAATTCTAGTTCCATTAGAAACTCATCTTAATTACCTACTAAAATTAAGGGTAAATACACTTGATTTATGAAATTTGTACTTATTTCTAGATCGTTTTTGCAGTGCAGGATTAGATCATTTGTAATAATGAAAAAAATGAATCCACTTATTTCTAGTGCATCATATTTAATCTTAAAAATACTCATTCCTTAGCAGATCATCATAGCTACCTGCCTAGATAATGCGGAGTGAGTTTTGTTCCATTATTGTTGGAAGCAAAGAACACGTTTTAGAAATAAGAAACTGAAAACACGTTTAGCAAATTGAAATTTTTTCTAAATTGTTCTAAGTTATTTTTTGTACTGATCTTAGATTTTCATTTTGGGTGGGTCAAATTCCTGTGTTTTAGATTGAGTTTTACAAATTGCATTCATATTGCGTTTTACATTCCCTTTCCTTCTGGAGGCGGGCTTACCTCTGGAGTGAGGAGTGAAGATGCAGTTCTATTGGTCTGCAAGGAGTTAAAATGACATTTTTATTGAGTGGCTATTTAAAAAGAATGTGATACGATAAATTGAGTTAAAGAAATTTAAAACAGAAATCTAAGGGGGAAAAAAATCAAAAATATAAATTCTGCAAAAAATAAAACTTGAAAATATATCTGTACATTTTTTGGGAAAAAAATAGAAAAAGAAAAATACATTTAAAAAAAACCCAAGAAAACAGCTAATTTACTCACAAAACCGTGTTTTGCTCCGCATATCCATCTGGAAACCTTCCGTTGAAGTAATTTTGGGGAAGGGGCGAAAATACTGGTTAGCTGATTGGCCTATGTTGGTGATAGACGGGCCAAATAAAACAATCAGATCAACGAAGCATATGACGTACTAACAGAGCGATGACGAAAACACAACCACAAGCCAGGCTATTCTTGCTGAAACCAGTCGGGAGAAGAGCAAAAACATCTTTTCCTCTGAGAAAAGCCTCCAGAGCAGTGTTTTGCTCTTCTTTCAGTGAAGAAATACTCTGTAATTCCGATAAAACTTGCTCGATAGCCACGCTAACGCTAGTTTCATCGGCTGAAGCCGCCATGTTCTTTAGACTGAACTGTCGTGCTTCTCGTTGCGTCGCACCTCAACCCGCCTCAAAGCCAACGCTGATTGGACGTTCGTTTGGTGAACGGCTCTAAATTTTCTTCAACGGAGAGTCTCCAGACTGATCTGCGAAAGCTCGCGAGATCAGGATGGTCTCACGAGGCTACCGTCTTCCCCCACAGCCCAAAAACATGACTGTTAGGTTAATTGGCTTCTCTAAATTGTCCTTAGGTGTGTTTGTGCATTATTGTGTTTCTTTGTCTCTGTGACAGACTGGCAACCTGTCCAGGGTGGACCCTGCCTCTTGCCCATGAGCCTCATTTACATCACCCTTTGAAAGCGTGCTGAGATCGGTACGAGCACGGTAACCATTGAGTGTTAATGGCTCTCAGAACTGAACCGAACCACGCCAGACACAACCAAACCGCGCTAAACTGGTATTTGTTCATCAGTAGAGCTCGGCGTGGTTCAGTTCTCGCCCGGTTCTCTGATAACAAAGAGAGCATGAGCAGACCGCGTCATCTCCTTACAGTCAGCCTCTGTAATCAGGAGATTTCAGACATTCATAAAAATTCTAGCTTTCCTACCTGCCACACGACTTCCAGTGAAGATTCTGCTCAGCAGTGTGATGAACATGGGGTCGCCTTTTGCAGCTGCTTTTTGTGTCTCTGCTTCTGTCTCCTTGAACCCCAGTCGGCCTCAGCAGATGGCCGCTCACACTGAGCCTGGTCCTACTGGAGGTTTCTTCCTGTTAAAAGGGAGTTTTTCCTCTCCACTGTCGCTACAAGCATGCTTAGTGTGAGGGATTGTATTTGAGTCAATGAGTGGATGCAATCAACTGATTTTCCTTAGATAGAAAACTTTGTATCAATCTCACTGGATGATCTGGTTGAACTGTAAAGTGCCTTGAATTGACGGGTTGTGAATTTGGCGCTATAGAAATAAACTGAATTGAACATGACCGTCTGTCAATGTTTCCTGCGTCTGTAACCCCTGATTAGACTATCTTTCATTGTATCCACTTCCCAAAAGCTGAATCTGTCAAGTAAATTCTCCAAAGGCTGCCTTCTTGGCCTGACTCTGCAAAAAAACCAAATATCATAATTATAACCAAACTTCCTGAATGTTACGAGCACCGCTGTGTTGATTTACTTGTTTACCTCTAGAGAGCAGTAGTACCGTAGATCGCCACTAGGAGATGAGGAACCGTGTTAGCCTGGTTATAAACGGTTGTAAGAAACCGAGCTCGTCATGGATCGGTTTTCAGAGGGTAGTGTAAATTATTCTCTCGACTGCCAGAGATAGGCATCAGCCCCACTGTGACCCTGACAACGGCTAAGCAGGAGGAAATGGATGGATGATTTCTTTATTTGATACAATAATAAAACAAAATTCACTCCATCCAATTAAGAGCAAAGACTCTTAAGCTATGTTCGAATTCTTTGATCAGTCTTTGCATTGTGGCATTAAATCAGCTTCTGACGATGACATGCCCTGATAGAAAGAAACTGCAACTTGTCCCTTTTACAATTTACTTCAACAGTTATTTAGAACTAGCTGTTAGCTTTAAGCTTCAGTCGTACTAAGATAGAATCACAGTTTTTCATCTGGTAGATCAGGAGTCTGTAACCTTGGTTTTTGGTACTCACTTAATATGCGAAATAAAACAGTCTCCTCTTTCTTTCTTTTTTTGTTTTCTTCTATGCCCCTATTAAAAAACAGAACCGCCTTCTAGAACCACCACTGATGCCAGGAGGCTGATGGTAACTCTGGAGGAGCTGCAGAGAGCATTAGTTAGATGGTGAAGGATGCTTTTTACAAAACTGTCCTTCATGGAAGAGCGGAAAGAACGTCTGAAGCCTGTTTGCTGTTTGTAAGATATGGAAACAAAGCAGAACTTGATGGCCATATTGTTAAAACAAAACAGCAGGTGTGGCTGCAGAACACCAAACAGACCCCTCCCTCACAGTAAAACTAAGTGGCAGCAGCATCAGCGTGTTTTAGGATAGTTTTCTTCATCAGGGACTATAATATACAACCGATTCTGTGACCCATCATTGTGTATCAACAAGCTCCTCCTCACCTGTCTGCTAGCCCCAACTTCACAGCGACTCATTTCTGAACCTGAAGTCTAAGGTGAAATACACACCTGGACTAAATTATTGGAAACCCCCCCCCACAGTTGTCAGAGAAATAAGGTGAATCTGAAAAAAGTCATAATGAATAAAATTCTATGAAAATGAAGAAATGAAAGTCAGTCATTGCTTTTCAACCCTGCTTCAACAGAACGATAAAAAAAACCCTCATGAATCAGGCCTGGAAAAAATTATGCAAAGAAAAGACAGAAAGCAATGAAGCATCTCAGGTGTCTGCAGCTTGTAGTCAGTCATTGGGTTTATGTTCGGACTACAACTAACGATTGTTTGAAAATAGATTAATCTGTCGATTATTTTTTCAATTAATAATCAGATATTGATATGATTTTTTACTAAATCAATCCAGGTGACACTAAAACTTTTCCACCATTTGAGGAGTTCTGGATTGAACATATAGACAGACAATTTTTGTTTTTGTTTACAATTTTGACATACTTACTTCTCTAAGCGGGTCTCTGTCAGCTAAAGGCATTTTTTTAAGAGTCTAAACTCCATTTAACGATTAATTAATTACTAAATTAGTTGACAATTTCTTCAATAATCGATTAATCACGATAGATCCAATTGTTTCAGCCATAATCTATATATATATAAGGCTGTTTGGTGACATGGTGTGTATCACACTCAACATGGACCAGAGGAAGCGATGGAAGGAGTTATCTCAGGAGATAAGAAAAAGGTAAAGGCTACAAGTGCGTCAACAGGAAGCGTGATGTTTAGGCGACTCCAGCTGCACATATTCAGAGATTTAAGATCCATGGGACTGTAGCCAACCTGCCTGGACGTGGCTGCAGAAAGAAAACTGATGAAAAATCTGATTGGATAGTATGAATGGTAACAAAAGAGAGCAGAAAAAGGAGATTAAAGGTGAACTTTAAGCCTGAGGAACATCAGTGTCTCATCAGATCGCACCAGCCGTTGTTGCTTGAGCCAAAGGGGACTTAAGGAGACGACCAAGGAGAACGCCATTGTTAGAAAAATAAAAATAAAAAAAGCCAGACTGGAATTCACCAAACTACATGTTGAACAGTCAAAGCCTCTGGGAGAAGGACCTATGGATAGATGAGACAAAAATAGATGTTTTTGCTAAAGCGAAATCAGCTCTATGTTAACTGTGGAACACGGAGGGGGCTCTGTTATGCTCTGGGCTGCTTTGTTTCGTCGGGCACAGGGTGGATGAATTCCTGCAGGGTCCAATCTAAAGACTCTAAAGGGATTCTAGAGAGAAATGTGCTGCCCAGTGTCAGAAAGCTCAGGGTCAGTCCAAGGTCAACAGATCATGTGACAGTCTGCTGCACCTTAAATGCACCAGGGAGCGTCATCACAGATCCTTCCTCCCCATGGGCGGTTCTAGACGGGGGCCAGTGCCCCTGTACTGAAGAAATAATACCTATAAGAAATTCTAATGATGATGCGCTGGAACAGACATGGTTACTGATAGGTCCTTTGGATCTATTTCATTTTTTATTTTACAACTTATGTTTTACCAATTATTTAAAAACAATAGGGTGATAGCTTCAGTCATATTGAGATAGGATCCCAGTTTTTATCTGCTAAATGTTTCTTTTTTTTTTTCAAAACAAACAAAGAAAAGAAAATGGTAATTTTAACTTAAATTAAGTGAAAAATATGTAAAATTCCTAAATTATGAATGTATATTGACCTCATAAGGATTTTTTATTGAACCTAATTGAATAGAATATATTATATATATATTTGAACCCCTTGCCCTTTTTTTATGTCATGCTTTTCTGTTCCCTCATGAAAACACGCCGGCCCCCTCCTGGACCCCTTGTACATTTGGTCTAGAACCGCCACTGTTCCCAACAACCTCAATAAGTTGTTCCATTCGTGATGATTTTGCACAGTTTCTACCTTAGTCAGTTAAATAACCTGCTGCTGTCATTTTGCACATCTCTGATCTCGCTGCCATTTCCAAATATCCATTACTGTAAAAATGTCCACAGCTGGATATTGGTTATTTACTCTCCAGGTGCAAAGTTTGTTATTGTTAAAACACTTTATTGTTCTTTTATCTCTTCTTGTTGGGACAATAAAGGGATTTTCTATTCTATTCTATGAATGACCTAAACAGGATGGGGAAGTGGAAAACCTTGGGACTATTCTGAAGAAACCTTTTTGGAGTAAAACATGTTGAGATATGTAAGAATATAAGTCCTCTTCATAGCATGAAGAGGACTGTTGTTTTGAGAGGATCCATCTGGTCAGGGAAAGATATATTGAAAAATATATTATATCTTAGATATAAACCTAACAGGGAACGGCCTTGATGAACTCAGGTTGTTTTCCTCCAAATGTTAAAATGCGAGAAAGTTCTTTATGCAGGGGGTGGGTTGGTTCCCCTGGGAGGAGAGTGTGTTTGGGGATTTTGTAAGGTATAAATGTATGTACAGTACTGAGGTTGCCTCAGTCAGAGCTCTATCTCTTTATCTGAGGACGTTAAATAAATTTGAACCTATTTTCAGGCAAGAAGTGCCTCTGTCTCAGCTTCCTAACTTCACACCTTCTACGAGCTTCAACCCAAATCCTATGGAGCATCTTTGGAAGGAGCTGAAACAGGCCGACTGGAGAAGAGACTTCAAACTGTTCGCTGATGAGGAGCAGAAGTCTCACCGACCGTTACACGGACGTTTTATTGCAGTGATTGCGCAAAAATATTAAGTTAAGGATATCCTCATTTTTGTCCAGGCTTTTTTTTAATAAGTTAATTTTTGTAAATCATTCAGTGGAAGCATGATTGAGAATCAATGTCTGACTAATTTGTTCAATTTCAAGTAATTTCCAGTCATTACTTTTGTCCAATTAAATTTATTTCTGTGACAATTGTGGTTTATTTTAGTCCACAGGTGTAAATAAACGACTCCTGAGCTCCAGTACATGAAGTCACAGTCGAGTTTAAAGCAAAAGCAGGATTAGATTTTTGTTTTGTTGGCTTGGATTAAAATATTTAAACACATACCTCAGGCTCTTTGTCAGCTCAAACAATAAAGTTTAACTCGCATTAAGTAAATTCAATTTAGCAGCCAAATGCGTTGGCTTCACTTTTGCTGCTTGAAGCACTTTTGAATGAGGCTAATGACACAGCACACCAAATAACACACATCATTAACAAATTTAAATCAACTGTTTAATGTCGTCCATAAGGAATCCTGACATTCAAATCAAATCAGAACGGGAGAAACGCAGAAAACTCATTTTCCTCTAAGGGTCGTCGTACATTTGCATATACTAGTGTTTAGTAATAATCCCATTTAAAATAAAATGATTTAAAGTAGAAAACAAAAAATGATTTCTGATATACATTAGAAAAGAAACAGCAAAGAGATTTTGGTCATTTTAAATGCTTCAGACATCAACGCGAGGCTGCGGCGTGTTTCTGCGCTCAGCCTCTGGAGCCCTTAAGGAGAGTCGGAAAGCACAAGTTGGATCCTCCTGAGAGGCTCCTGCCGTCTTTCCTGGTTGGTGAATTATTCATCTCAGACACAAATACCCCCCCCCACAAAGAGAAAAAAAAAAAAAAGTCACGCTACCACAGTTCATTATTATCAATCACTCATTACAAGGTCATGAGACAGCCTTCAGCAGGCACTTGGAATCACTTAGGACCAACCGTGTTCACATGTTAACACAGAATTTCACTTGATAAAGTGCTTCCTCTCATCCTTTAATCTGTACCTGACAGGTTGCAAAAACAAAGGTTCCAGGACTCACGATTGTTAAGACGGTAAAAAAGATCCGAGGCTGTCATAATGTGCAAAAACGATGATGATGGAAGGCACTGAATACCAAAGAAAATAAAGAAAAATGCACGACGATGCATCTTACAATCGGCTGAGCTTAACACCTGAGGTGCGGAGTGAATACGTTGATGTTTGTAACTGAAGCGATCACTGGCCTGAAGAGTTAGGACACAATTAAAAAAAAAAGAGAAAAAAAAGGTGCATGGGAAAGAGGAAAACGAATAAAACAGATGATTTGACATCAGTGCAGACGGCAAGCTTCGTAAAAATCGGCCGCCTTTATCGATTATCTCGCCTGGACGCAAACTGATTATATTCTTCATAAGGTAAAATATACAGATATATTCTAATAAGAAAGGCCACAAATTACAGTTTATCAAAGAAACTTCCTTGAATTAACATCTTTTCACTGCAAATAATCGATAAATTTAACCCCGTATGCGAGACTTAAAGCCACATTTGGAGTAGAGGACATTTATGTACAAAGAGGACGCATTCCTGTGCTTCTTTTTTTTTTTAATGGATCTGGATTCATTTCGGGTTTGGTCTGCTAGATGCAACTGGTCACATTTGCGCAGCTTCATAACTTATTGCATCTATTTACACGCCATCGGAAGACAGAGACCAGAGAAAAGGAAAAAACAGAAGAGGTAACAACATTCTTTGACAGGCTGGAAGGTTAAAACGGTTGATCATGTTATCCAAACGAGTCGTTAGATAAAAGATATTGAGGTTGTTTTTATGTATTTTTTAATAAATGATGGAGCTACTAAGGTATGCTTTTATTTTTTTCGCTACTCTGATTTTGGGTGATTGAGGTTATGAAGCGAATCTCTCCTCACTGAATATTAAATAAAGGCAACAAACCATCTGAGCTTCTTCCCAACATGCCGGACCGCACATCATTGGTTCAATCAGACATTCACTAAGATCCAAATCGCTAGAGAAGTGTTAAAAAATAATAATAATAAGGGTGATGGCAGGGTGTTGATAGTATAACTGACATTTTTCAAGTACTCTTTGTTTGGAGCTCATGATGATTCTTCACCCGTGGACGGCCGCCGTTCCTGACGATCCATCACTTTCCAAAGTTCCCAAAGTCAGCAAAGGCGTCTTGTTTGGGCTGCTGGACCATTGCGGGGTTCATCCCCATCCCCCCGGGCATTCCCATGTTCATGCCTCCCTGGGGCATCCCCATGTTCATGCCCATCCCCATCATGCCCTGGTTAGGAACCATCCCCATCCCCATCCCAGGCTGCATCATGGGATTAACAGGAGCTCTGACTGCCGTAGGTCCAAGATTCATGCTGGAAAATCCCTGGCTCAGCATGTTGGGAGCCATTTGGTTGCCTGGGAAACCCACAAACAGATAAAGTAAAAATGAATCTAATAAAAAATTAAAACACTTTTGATTGAAGGGAAACTTTAGAGGAAAGTATTAAATCTCACCGTGCTGCAGGGTGTTCAGACTGGGCTGGCTGGGCTTAGGAGGCTGCATGCCGGGGCCCAGGAAGTCCAGGCTGATGTTAACTGAATGATCCGACCAAGTGGAAGGAAGGGATGCTTTGGCTGCTGCGCCTTGTGGGACCATTCCCTGCTGGACAGGCTGTGGCTGCAGAGGACCGCCCATATTGTGGACAGGCTGAGAAAAAGACGCAGGTGGTTAAGCACAAAGTTCCCATCTTCACCATGAACGACTAAAGAGCTTAAAGGATCTAAAACCGACTGAATCCATGAGGAAAACCTGAAGGGTTTTATACTTATGGGGAGCAGCGGCCTAGTGGTTGAAATCCTAAGGTTCTGAGTTTGAGCCCCACCTACAGACTGCCAATCTGGCTCTCTGAGCAAAGACCCTTAAGGCCAATTTATGCTTCTGACGCATAACCTCTGCAACTATCAAATGTTTCTGTGCGCGACCAGGCAGATGTTGCAGAGGTTCTGCAACCTTAAAAAAAATCCTGATTACCCGTCAGACGGTCACAAACCTGCGCAGACCTCAAGCTGAAGTGCGCAAACAAAAAGCAGCTGTGATTGGTCCTTGGTGTGCCTTCCAGCTGTCTGTGTGGTCGTCCTTCTCGATTCGGTGCCGGGGCGTGCCATTTTTAAAAAACCGAGGAACAACTACAATGGACGACTACGACGAAAGGTTAATCCAGGGTTCCTGCGGGTCCTTAAAAAGTCTTCAAAATAAAACTAAGGCCTTAATTGGTATTAAAATGTCTTAAATCAGTCTTTCGTAGGTCTTAATTTTTAAAACATCATAAATAGGATTATTTTTATTACGAAAATAACGGCTCGCCCTTATTGGTTCCGTCCCGATAGCGGAACCAATAAAAGCGTTGCTGCGGCCTGGACATTTGGGAGACGCACCATTAACTTTTTATCTGGAAAATATGAACAAGTGTAAATGTAACCAGAATTGTCTCCAGCCAAGAGTTTTCTCCATGGCTAAAACCAGGGAACATACAGGAGGCTCAGTGGATTTAGTGCAAGAAGCGATTCAAGCTCAGAACGATGGGAATTAAGGCAGTGGAGTCGCACATGCGAAACACGAAACACAAAGCGTCAAAATGGAGTTACAGAGAAACAGCCGGTATTTCTCAGTTTGGTTCCACCCTTGTCTCTGCAACGCCTCCACTTATCACCAAATCAAACATACTAAGAAAACCATACAAAGAAAAAAAGCTGCAAAAAAGACTTAGCACTGGTTATGTTGAGGCTTTTTTTGTGAATTCAGTTAAATAATTGTTCAAATATATCTGTCATTTGTTTGTTTTTAGCTTTCTTCCTGTATGGGAAGCTTTTCAACATTTGAAACATTAGTGCAGTGGTTTATGTTAGAATAAACCTTTGGGTTAAGTTGTCGCAAGCAAGTTTTTCTTGCGTTTCTTGTGAATTTGGTCTTAAATTTTTATTTCAAGTGGCATTAAAAGTCTTAAAAAGTCTTGAATTTAACTTGCCTTATGCTGTAGGAATCCTGTAATCTGTCTTTTTGCCAACTCCATTATCAGAACCTGTTCCTCTTCGATGTTTAGCAACTCTAGATCCATCTCCGCGACCGTGGTATCTTGCAGAGACGCCATTGTTGTTATGGAAGATAAACACCCCCACCGGGGCCCACGAAGTTCTCGCGAGTTCTCAAATAGGCGCCCCTTGCGCTTTGGTGGGAAACTGTTGTGCGTCCCTAGAAATTCCAGACAGACGGTGCAGAAGCATACCAGCAAAACTTGTTCGCCCTTTAACCCCACACTGCTACCCAGACGCCGCACAATGGCAGCCCACTGCTCCCCAAAGGGGATGGGTTAAATGTAGAGGTATATTTCTCCAATTTGAGATCAATAAAGTCCAGTTATTATTATTATTATTATTATATTAAAGCCCTTAGCGGCGAAGAGGTCGACTTGCATCTCTAAAGGCAGAGAGGAGACAGCAGGTTGGGGTGCGTGTCAGCGCAAAGAACCAAAGTTTGAAGTAGGTCACCCTCTTAACTTGAAAACACAGACGACATGTAAAGCTTTTGTTGAATTTGTAATGTTTTAGAGTCTGAGGAGTGGGTGGTCTCTGGGGGAGACCAACATCTGGTGATGCTAACGCTCCATCACCGAGGCATCTCTCTCCACCATTAAGGCCAGCTTAAAGACGTCTAAAGTAGGAAGAAGAACAGTGTAGGATTTATACGCCATTATTGGTTTCTTTTTTTTCTTTTTAGCTGTTAAAATTTCTTCCACCACACAATAAGCATAAAACCAAGTTGCTTAAAAAGTGACGCGTAGTGATTTAATTTTCACTAAACCCTGCAGAGACAGGAAGCCTGTGGATTCTGCAGTTTTACTGCAAAGTCTAAACAAGCTGTGCAAACTAAAACGCACTAATGGGAAGGAAGAGATGAGAGGTTAAAACTGAAATTAGGCAAAAATGAATGTGGGAATGTTTTAGCATTTTTAAACATTGATGTCAGTGACTGGGCCAAATATGACAGCAGAGGGGTCTAATCTTTAACATCATTATATCCTCTCGCTTCTAAATATTAAAAGCTTACTTTAGTAGCCATTCAACATTTCCCCACTTTCCTTGATGGCTGCTTGACTAGTCCGCTACAATTCCTTTTTAAATATCAATATTTATACTAAAATATTCTGTCATGATTTGTGGACATTAAAGTCGTAGTGAAACGGCTGTTCCAATGGTTGCATTTCTGAATTCTCCCGAGTGGTGCCCGACTTTACACGAGTGAATAAAGTGAATGTCATTGGTTGATTATTAAGTGGGCGGGTTTGTTGTGGCGAAAGGTTCGCAAGCATGTTTAGTTGTGGCCGGTTTGTCGGAAGCATCTTGCTAACCAGTTAGCAACTTAGTGCTAGTAGGTTCCCAATGGGAAATTCCCTTGGGACCAAATAACTGACAGGTCCTTTGGATCTATTTCTTTTTTTGTTCTTTACAAATTCTGCTTTACTAATTAAAAAAGGTGATAGCTTCAGTGGTATTGAGATAAGATCCCAGCTTTCATCTGCTAAATATTTTATTTTTTTCAAAACAAATAAATATTCAAATTTTTACAGCCTAATTTATCGGTTTTGCTTGAGTTCTAATTCAGATTTTAGAGAAAACGGTAATTTTAACTTAAATTAAGGCAAAAATATGTAAAATTCCTAAATTCTGAATGTATATTGACCTGATAAGACACAGAATTTTAATTAAAGTCGTAGGGAAGCGGCTGTTCCAACCGTTGCATTTCCGAATTCTACCGAGTGGTGCACGACTTTACACCAGTGGATAAAGTGAATGTGATTGGTCGTTTATCAAGGGGGCGGGATTGTTGTGGTGGAAGGTTCGCAGTCAGGTTTGGTTGTTTGTTGGAAGCATCTTGCTAACCAGTTAGCAACTTAGTGCTAGCAGGTTCCCAATGGGAAATTCCATTGGGACCAAGTAGCACTAAATTGGTGATTTAGCAACGACGCTGTCAAGGAACGCTATGGACAGCGGAAACATGCAAGAGGAGGAGAGTTTAGTGTCGGAGGTCGTGGATGAGTCTCCTCCGTCATCCATTTTTTATTTAGAGGAGGAAAGCGGGGACGAAGATGCTGTGGAAGAGGACGCCAGGGCGGCAGAAGCTTGGTTTGGTGTAGAAGGCTTCCAGCCGTACATGTTTGAGCCCTTGCCTCGCAACGCTGCAAAGTTCTGTTAGCTCTACGCCTGCTGAAGACACAGACGTCCATCCCCGTGAACACTGGGACGCAACTCAATGGGAAAGGAAAGGATTCTGATTTCAACCGTTGCGTATATTAGCTGCCACATATGAATCAAGATGCTGTCAATCAAATGCGAAAATAAAATATTTGATTGACAGATCACCGTTGATATATGATTGGCCGAATTTAGGTGTTCAGGCTGACGTAGAACTAACTGGCCTGCAGAAGATAACGAAAGAAAAACCACCACAGATTTTAAGAATTTTTTTTTTTTTTAAATAGAAATTTTCTACATTTTGAGAGAATATAGTCTGATAAACGGTACATTTATAGACATGTTTAAGCCAGAATGATTTGACATTTAAATATGACTTCCCTACTACTTTAAGATCTAAAGAGAACGTCATCTCCTGGTCAGACCCTGTAATTCAGGGAAAGGGTGGAGTCCGACTAAAAAAAATTTGCAGGAAGAGGTCAGTCCAGTGGCTTGAAGTTGTAGCAGATTTCACTGGGAGTTGTAGGGAAGTGTGCTGCCATTCGGCTGGTGTCTGACTGGGCGGGGCCATTTTGAATGGCTGCTACTATAGATATCAACCAGAGCAAGCAACAGAATAAAAAACTGACAAGCTTGGACCAATAATACCAGTTTATAAGCTGCGAATCATAACCTTGTTTAACAGAAAGAAGGTTTAAGCAAACCAGTCGTTTGTGAAATTTGTAGGTAATCGGTAAAAACAACTAGCCTGGGTGCCATTCCGAACTTAGTCCCGCCCACAAAGTTTGAGGTCGGGAAGTTCGGTCTGGCATTGCTCCATAGTAGCGCGAGTATTATCGCCCACTGTCAGGCGATCCAATCAAATTGTCAGGGCGGGCTTTATACGATGATGGACAGATGACCAACAGTAACGTAATCAACCACGTGACCAATGTGCGCTTGGGTGACAACAACAATGGCTGCTGGAGAGTTGAGGTGTGTAGATTCTGCTATTAGGTCTGTTCTAGAAGATATCGACAGCAAATTAATTTTAAAAGAGGAACAGAGAAACGCGATCAAGGCTCATCTTCTTATTATAGGCGTGCAACTGCACGCTTTGATTTTTGTGGACAACAACTATGCGTCGCTTAACATACGTTGCTCTTATTGGTTGTAGGTCTATCCAATTGAGTGCAGAGGCATTTTTTTTCCTGGTTCGTTCGAAACACGCCCCATAATCACAGCTCTATGGAGCAGTATCAGACTCATATTCTGACTAGAATTGAGTCGGACTACGTCAGGCTAAAAAACAACCATAAATAAGCCTAAAACAATAGGCTGGTTTATTTATTTCTTTGTTTATTCTTATTTGTTATTTAAAGGTTTCTCAGACTTTCTGGTCACTTCAGTCCATCCTGGACGTTTTTCTACTTCAAAACTTTTCTTTAAAATAAAAAGATAAATAAAAGTTACAGTAAAGGAGAAAAAAGTGGTTAAATAAAGATGTAAATGGAAATCTGTGTTTATTTTTGGTCATTCAGCAATAACAGAACAGTCAGGAATGCACTAAACATAATTTTAACCTTTTTTGATTGTCATTGATCAGTAGGAATTTATTTATTTATTTAATAATTATGTTTCTTTTCTATTCAACACCATTTTTTTTTTTTTTTTTTTACATGCTGATGCTGGAGCATCAACTCTATAAATCATTAAAAAGGAACCACTGACTAAATGTTGCATAGCTAACGAAGAACTGCTTAAACAGTCAAACTAGGGAAGTTTAGCTCCTGCTGGAGCCATTAGCGGCCATCTTGGATAGGACAGAGAGTTGGGCGTGGTCCTTCTCCTCTGACTTCAGAGTTTCTCTCCTAGGTCAGAAACTCCAACCTTCAAATGCAAATGAAAATGCCCCTAAAAGCACCGCAGCTTTTCTTCATTCCTTTCTTCCCAAAAATTCCTATCTAATGAAAGAGGAATGTTTTGTTTCTCTAAACCTCTTTATGACCTTGTTGTGCATAAACACCTCTTTCTTATTGCATAATCATGTTTTCCTGCATCTCTAATGATTTTACCTCAGTTTCTGTTCAGATGTTTCTAATAATTTTACACCTAAATAAGCTCCAGTCGTTCCTGGATTGAGGTTCTAATAACATCCGACTGTTCTGGTAACAAACGATCGTCTCTCATCCAGGTAGGCAATTGGTTCATTTTTTCGTTTTTGCCTTTTATAGTTCATATAAGATGTGCAATAAAAGGTTTTTTTATTCCAAACCCTTATTTGCTTGTTTACAAATATTTATCCACTGAAAATTTTTTAGGTTGACTGATTAATTGCAAAAATGATCAATAAATTAATTCCTAAAAGAATCGACAGCTGCAGATTTAATGGAAAATTAAAGTACTGAAGTACTATAATATTCTGTTGAACTATTTTAAAGTTAGCAACACTTCATGTTTCACTTATTTATTAACAACTAATAAAAGAATATTTGGTTATGTTGTGTTGTTAATGTGATTTAATCAAAGCCCTACAGAAGCTTTGCAGGGACAGAATTATATAAAAGGAAATGAGTGAAGTCCGGCGTACCTGGGGCACAGACTGAGGCATGATGTTGGCGCTCAGCGTCTGCGTGCTGCTCATGCTGAAGTTGAGGCTCTGGGAGGAGGTGAGGGTCTGAGTCGGCCCCATCAGGTCGAACAGGTCTGCCGAGGCGGGAGCTGGCGCTGCCACCGGCGCCGGGGCGGCAGGGGAACCCGCCGCCATGGCTCCAAAAAGGTCACTTCCACTGGTGACGGGACTCTGAGCAGATCCTGGAATCTGACCTCCAGGAAAAGCGTTCCATTCTCCAAAGTCTCCATTAGGGCTGGAGGCTGTCGGGGAGAAAAACAGGAGTTGCTCTGATTTTCCAGCCAGATTCTGAAGCCATTTTTACAAGGAATAAAAGTCAAAGTTGCGAGCCACGTTTTCACTTTATCCAGAACATTCTCACCGACCACTGGTGCTGCGCTTTAAATTTTCATTAAACTGACCTAGCTTGTTGCCTCTAAGAGTCATCTCACCCCCCCCCACCCCCCCCCCCCCCCCCCCCCCCACGACTTCTTCTCCCATCCCCCGTCTCCTTGTCATCCATAACAGGAGTTGATGTGTGTCTGTTCTTATTATGCAGAGCAGGTAGCAGGCTCCATATGGCCCAGGCTGCCTCCCAACATATCTCTGAATATTCTAGCAGCACGGCTGCAGCAGGACAGCATTTCTGCAGCCAGGACTGAAAGCTATTAAAACGTACCAGAAACGGATACTTGTCCAGTTGAGGCAGCAGGTGAGTTGAAGTCCGCAAATCCACCGAAAAGATCTGTAATGAAAAATAGACACAAAAACAATAATAATGGGGTTAACTTTGGGTGCCAGTATTGAGTCGTTAGCATTCCTTTAGTGTTAACGTGTCAGACGGACGGACGGGTCGGGGGGTGGGGGGTTAGGAACGGCTGGAGGAGCTCAAACATCTGTTTAGTCATCCACAGGGGACTCCTCCAGAAACATCTGGTGCACTTAGCTCCTATAGATCACCTCCCTCCCTCACAGCTGAAGCCTGGCAGCAGCAGCTGGGTCAGTCCAGCTTCACTAGCGGTTCCTAGCAGCAGCTCGAGCCCGACTGGTTTTTCTGCTTGTAATCTATGAACTATTTTGTTGATACAACAGAGAGAAAAGCGACCGATGTGCTTCTACCTGTGGCAGCAGGCTGGCTGGGTGTGGTGTCCACCATCAGGAGGTCAGCCAGGCCTGTACTGGCAGGCTGCGGCGCTGCAGCAGGCTGAGTCTGCAGAAACAACACAAACATTTAGGAATATAATAAAAAAAAAAACAGCCATTTCCTTCATGTTCTTAGCTCATACGTATAGTGTCTACCTGCTTTGCTGTGGTGCTGGGGCTCTTGTCTCCTGTGTAGTGGGCTGCAGCCCCCAGATCCACTTTCTTGGAGGGCACTCCTCTCTTCCGCGTCGCTGTCGTCTCCGTCGCCTGGACAATTTGAACGCTCTTGGTTGTAACAGTCTCCTCTTCGTCTTTAAACTCCTTCTTTGACTGACCGTTGTACGAAGAGCGATCCCGGTCTTCCTCGTGGTCACTGCGGACGACGTGCAGGAACAGCAGATTAATCACGGTAGACTAATTGCAGCGCAGACACTGATGGGTTAATAGGCAGTACTTCCAAAACCTTTTAAACTGTTTTACTGCAGTTAAAAACATAATGCAATAAACTTCAATCTTGTTCAAAATGACCATACTAGCACCTTTCAAGAGCATTTATTCTAAGTTTATTTTACAGAATTCAACGTGGCTATAAATACACCGCATTTGGAAACCTTTAGGTCACGTGAGGAAGAGATGATGTCATCCATTTAATCTAAAATCTGGGCATTCAGACCCACTTTTGCTGATCTGATGAATGGAAATGCCTCAGAGGCAGAGCTGTTTCGATCTCATCCTGTTGGCTTTTAGTTTGAAAATCCTTTTCCAGGAGGAGTCTGTTAGAACTGGAGGTGATTTAGAGTTAAAGGAAGAAAACGTAATTTTTTTTCCTGAAAGGAAATCCTCTTTACTTTAATTATATCTTCCGTTTTATTCAACTAAGTAGTGTTTTATAAAATCAGCATCTCTATAACCTGGAATATCGTAATAATTAATAAAGTAGTTTGTTTAAAGTAATAGATTGGTACTCAAAATGGTAAATCAGTGATGTTTTATGATTATGACAAACAGGAAATTAAAAAAAACTAACTAATAGAATTAATAGAAAACAAAAAAACATTTTTTCCTCATGATAAAGGTATTTTGAAAACAGTAACTTTAAGCTCTTGCCTTTAAACCTTGGAGAAAATGAAACCCTCCACAAAAAGAGCTATTGCTAAGAACTTTTAGCAAAGCATTTTACAGAGTTTCTGCTTTATGTAGTTTATTGTAAACTATCAAAGTGCATGCAGCAAATTCATACAAATAATCAGACTTAAAATAAATCAAAATATCAGTAAATATTCAAACTTATTTTATTTTGAAAAGCCATCACCAGCAGCTCCTGACCTGCTGCAGCTGACTAGCGTATGAAGCTAACTTCTGGCTACTCTACTACACTCAAAGCGAAGGACTTGTGTTGCTAACATAATGACTTTGGGGATTTTTCTCACCCTTCTATCAGTTGGTTTTACTAAAAGTGATTTGAGACTATTAATTGGCATTTCTCTGTGTGTTTGGCAAGTTTATTTGCTTCACTTAAAGCAGCAATCATTCTCAGGACAGCAGCTAAAGCTGTCCTGCTTCCCTAAGCGCTGTCTGACAGGCAGCTGCCTCGCCCTGAAAGCACAGTCAGAGCAGAGAGGAGACCTGCTCCGTTTTCCCACAACCACGCCCTGGATTACAAAGCAGGATATCAATATAATGTAAATACAGTTTTTAATCAAGTCTTTTTTTTCTCTGAAACCGTTTCACAGGGTTTATACAGGAATGAGTACCTGTAATTTAATGCTTTTCAATCCTCTTAGAAATAATTTTAATGCCATCAACAATTACCCACAACTCTCTCTCTCACTCTCTTCATCTATATATATTTAAATAAAAGACACGGCAAAAATCCTTTGTCATCTTTACTGTCGACAGGCTGCAACCGTGTCCCGAATTCCTCGTTTTCCAGTCACTTTTGTTTAAATTCACATTTTCCCCAATCTGTAGTTTTTTCTCCTCCTCGAGCTTCTTTTCCGAACAAATGGCTTTACGATCAACGGGAAGCAGTTCCGTGCAAACACGCAGAACTAGTTATATGACGAAATCGGTTTTAGAAACTTTTTAATAATAATTTTAAATGCCACGGTTATAACATTTATTACTTTTTAATCCCAATTAAGGCCTTACTTAAAATAAAATAATAATTTAATGACTTTTAATGATTTTTAATGACACGCAGAAACTCTGGTTTCAGTAAAAATATAACCCTGATAACCGCACGGCTAGAAACACTTATTAACCTCAACAGACGTTGCGTCCGATTACCATCTGCTTTCTAAAATTTAATATATGCAGTGAGAATTCAGGCAATGGCTCAAACATTAGTGCATTATTTTATAGAGGGAGGTTAAGTTATGCTGCATTTTAATAATTATAGTTCTTTCATCCCCCAAACACTTCAAAAATATAAATAAATAACTAGCACCTAATCTAGGGACTTTTTTCTGTCGTTTTAAACTGGCTACAAATGGAAACCCTGATTATTCTGAGTTTACCATCTTCAGCAAGCAGATAGTGCAGCTGTTAGCCCCTCCCTCCACTGATAGGCTCGCTGTGCAGCAAACCGCCTGCAGTCGGAGGAGAGACGAGATCAACTTGTTTGCTTCCCCCCCTGAGCAAAACTTCCACTGATTCCACCTTGGATAACAAAGGGGGATGTAAATATAATCTTAACGTAATGTTTTTATTTCTCCGTTTAAATAGATCCCTCCCCTCACACACAGCCTTCGTCTAGTTTAGGTTCAGGTCAAATATTAATGAATGCTTTAAATTATTATTTCTTTTTTTGAGTGTTTTTAATCACTTTGTCCCATTAATGCTGACACTCTCCTAGAATTAAACAACACGCTTTTTATTTAAAGGTATAGTGTAGGATATTCTTTTTCCGGGTGGATCACCAAAATAAGTGGTCCTCCTAATTGTCAATCATTCTGGTGATATGTGGGGGTATGTGAGCATTGCGCCTTTTGATTTCAAGCCCCACTCGTTCCTACGTACTGCCACTCTGGGTTCCTGAGCAAGACCCTTAACCCCACACTGGTCCCCGGACGCCGCATAATGGCAGCCCACTGCTCCCCAAGGAGGATGGGTTAACAGCAGAGAAGGAATTTTGTTGCTTTGTACTTGTGAAAATGTAATGACAATAAAGTTGAATTCTATTCTATTTACATAAGGCCGCCCTACGTGCTCGCCCCCATATTTACTTTAGGCCAATTTGTGATTCCTCTGCAACCATCAAATCTGTCGTCGCACACCTCAAAAAAATCCTGACTATGCGTCGGACGGTCGCAAACCCGCGCAGAGCAAAAGCAGCTGTGATCAGGGTTCGTACACCTTTTCCAAAGTCAAAATCAAGCACTTTCAAGGTCCATTTTAAAAACTTTTCCCAGCACCTTGGGGGGGGGGGGAGAATTTTTTTTTTTCCCCCCCTCGGATGATCACAGAAAATTACTCCTCTGCCATGGCGTAGTATTATAACCAACCAGAGGGTGTCGCAATTCAGTATTATCAGCCGTAGAGTCATCAATGCTGTTTTAAGGTCTGGGCCTGGCAATGAATTAAAACTTTGTTTTTTTTGGAACGTTGGCAAGGCGTTAGCGTGAGTTTAGTGCAATAGTGCTGCGGGAAACACTGCAATACTAATATTACATTATCACACCGTACTCTCAATCACTATGACTTACCCTTCATGTGACTCGACAGCGCAGACTCGCCCATTGTGAAAAGCTGCACATCTTTTTTTGCAGACTTTACAAGAGGCAACTCGTGGGGTTTGTCCCCGTTTAATCCATAATTTGTATTTTTCATCTTCCAGCTAACGTTCATTGAAACGACAACCTCCCGGCATGGTGCAGTAGTGGTTTCATGGGGGCGGAGTCACACATGGAAATAGACTGGCAGATCGCAGTCACACATTCTCGAAGTTCAGTAAAGTTCTGCGAGTTCTCGAATAGGCGCCCCCTTGCGCTTTGGAGGAAAACTGCTGTGCTTCTCTAGAAATTCCAGACCGATGTTGCAGAAGTATACCAGCAAAACTGGTTAGCGACCAGACCCAAGCAACATTTGATGTGTTCGGTTGCAGAAGTCTAATCTGCCCTTTACTGGTGGCGAGTCTGACATAGTGGAAATATTGCAAATATTCTTTTGGAAAGTAAGCAACGTTTAAACAGAGCATGCAGGAGGAGAAATGGCCTGTACACACTCACGCGTCCTTCATTGTTTTATTTATATAAGAATAAATATGTGTTACATGTTTTAAACTGATTTTGTGTTTAATTCCAGATGTTTAAACAATAAAAAGTCAGTGCTCACTATTTTATTTTTTTTAATCTTTTGTTTGAATAGAAATAAAAAATGAGGCGTAAGTAAAGTTGGTAAATAATTAGCTTCAGATTAAAATAAAACTTGTGAACATATAAAGGTTTATTTTTGCCTTTGCCACTCAGCTTTTGGTACCTGAATCGATCTGGCGAGTCGTCTCTGTCCTTGCTCCTAAAGCTGCTTATCGTGTCGTTGATGGTGCTTCCGATTTTGTCACTTATCTCGCCCAACTTTTCACTGAAAGGGAAAGGTCCTTTATTCTTCTCCCAGTCATCGTCCCACTTCCCACGGCTGTCGCTGGAGTCGTACCTGTCCCCAGCTGAGGAGAAAAAAAAAACATTAAAAAATTTTTTTCTTTTTAGGTCTGTAAATTACATACATTTTTAAAGGCATACAGCTTCATTTAAACATAAGAGGTCTAACTAAACATATTTCTGTTACTTACAGTAACCTCTGTATCCCATGCTGTCCGAGGATACGCCGATGTATTTGTCTTTGTTCTTTTTTGCCTTTTTCCGTTCTTCCCTCAGTCTGTCGTCATCCTGAACAAATTCCACTAGCTCCTTCACCTTCTGACGAACATTTACTCCTTGATCCTTCCCGTTCTCATCTAGTGAGCCAAATTGAGGAAAAGAAATACATACTTTGACGTCAGAAATAGCGTTGAATTGGAGGCTTTATAGAGTGGACCAACAAAGCCTTCTTTTGGCTTAGAAACAGACATTTTGAATTGAAAAAGTAAATTTATGCATAAAAAATGTAAAATGGGTTTCAGAAAAAAAAAAAAAAAAGAAAATGAAAGTTAGAACTCGAACTATACAGTCATATGTTTACATTACGTTTTTTTTTTAATCAATTTTTATTTTATTTTTTTTAAATCACTGCTGCTTAAAGGCAGCACTAAAAAAATGAAATAGTCTAGAGAGCTTATCTAAACAAAATGTCTTTTTTTTTACACTTGTATACAAAATGACAAAATAAAATCTGTCTAAAGACTAAAAGTCTAACTTTTATCCAATAAATGTCTTAATTTTATAATGGCAGGATCAGTCCTCCATATATTTGATCAATTATTGAATAAACTGTGGGCCATTTAAATTTAATGACACAAACTTATATTATCAGCAACTTTTTCACCCATATTTTATATCATTTAGTTCTTTACTTTTTCTGTATATACTTTTATGGCATTGATAAATACAATTGATCACTTATTGAATAAATGCCTTTTTTAATCATTGTGTGGCATTTAATGAGACACAAATTTGTATTACTACCTACGTTTTCACCCAAGTTTTATATTATTGAGTCTTTTATTTGTAACTGTATGCATTTTTATTGGGGCAACGTTGAGCCTCCATATAAGGATGCCTTACCCACAAAGTGATAACTTTCCAGTGACCTCAGGTCATACAGATGTTCTCTGGCACTGGTTACGACCCGTTCTGACCCATTCCTGATTAGATGTGCCAATAAAAGCAGGGACTGGGAAAGAAAAAACCAATGACTGTGAGAACAAAATATCAGAAAACAAACTTATGAAAACATCCATCTTTAATCCCTTTCAATCAAACCATCGGAAGAAGTCAGGAAATCATAACTTGGTAAAAACTAGTAGCTTTGTGCGAGGCTGCAGGCGTCACGTCACAAACCTTGTAGACTCGCCTCCAGTTCTTTTTGTTGTCCCTCAGCATGCGGGCCCAAAGCATATTCATGACCTCTGGGAACTGCTCATACATGAAGGTGGCTCTGTTTACACAATCATACAACAGAGGATAAGAGTCAAAACTCCTCATATGAACAAATGTTTACTTTGCAACAGACAACAAAAGCGTTTCAGGTAACGCAGAAACATTTATATTTAATAAAAGGAAATGCAGAGCCTAATGTCGTTTTGAAAAGCATAACTCTAAATATGTGTAATTATGACTTAAGATTATAGAACCAGACAAATAAAAATAAGTAAAAGCAAAATGTAAAGTCTTCAAAAATGTTCCCAGTTTGTTTATATTTTGAATAATTAATAGTTAATTAGAACAAATTAGGTACTAAAATCACCAAAAACAAATCTAAAAAAAAAGGTTACAGATAGACAAGTTGAAATATTGCAAAACAATAATAATAATAATAATAATAAACTATAAATTAATGATTCACTATACATTAAAATGAGGACCAGCCAAATCAATACATTATCCTTCAACTATTCTACAATTACAGGATCTGGGCTTTTCTGGTTAAAAAGATGCAGTCATTTGTTGAAATTATCAACAATATCAAAAAAAACAAAGAGGTTATAGAAATGTCTCATCAAGTTCAAGGAACATCTGACTGTGCAACTATTACATGTACCCTATAAATGACAAAAATCTGTTTTAAGATGAACTGATAAAAGAGAATTAATCATAAAATGCAATTTGTAAAAGACACTTTAATGGATCAATTTCATTTATCATTTGGAAACTAGAAAAGCACTCTGAGCGCCCAGACCTTCGCCAAGCACCAACTTTGCCCCTTATTATGACTTACAGTTAAAGCTTAAACTCACATGAACTGGATAAATACCAGATTTTTAATGAATTGTTCCTTGGCATGAGGCAGAATTCTGTTAAATTTTTATTTAAAATCCTTTAATAAGTTCCTAAGTAAGGCACAGAGTGTGTCTGCAGCCTCTGGTGTTTGTTCTGTTCGCCCCTTCTTTATTTGATCTGCCCTCTTCTTTGATCAGCAGAGACTCCAAGTGAGGCATGGCTCCCACAATTGTTAATTAGCTTCTTCTGCCAATTAATGTTAAAGAATGCTTTAACCCTTTAAAGCCCGATCCAAGAATAAAACAAAACAGAAAATTACTTTTTTTGGTTTGAATTCCTTATTTGCTCTTTTAACAAAATATGTAAAAAGAAAAAACAGAAATACATTTTTGATATTAATAATTTATTACTATGCGATAAGTCAAGATTATTTTTTGTGTAGTCTTCTACTGGCTGTTATCAGGTATATCTGATTGTGTACAATAGGATTTTGAGCAAAATTTTTACCATTAAATTATGCAAAAGGTTACAGACGAAAAACATTTCAGAAACCGTATGTATCAAATATGATACATTTGGCATTATAGGGTTAATAAAATTCCTGCATCCGGATCGTGATCAGGATCACCACAAACATTTAATTCGACGGAGGTGCTGCTTTGATAAAAAATGTCATTAAAATCCTTTCAAAACGTCTCCTGTACACAGACAGCCGAACTCTCCTAAAGATATTACCTCCTTAGCGTAGGTAACTAGGGATTATTTTAGCTTAATTTAGAAGCTGCATTTTGCAAAGAGAGTAAATCAACTTAACATCCTCTTGCAGCAATACGTTATGTTGCAAGCAAATCCTTTTATGAGAGGAATCAACATCTTATTAGGGCTGGGTATTTAAGTCCTGAATCGATTGGATTTTGATTCATACCGTTCTAAAGTGCAAACTTGGACAGTTTAAACTTCAGATGTGAACAAAACTGTCTCAAAAGTGCAAACTTGTTTGTAAAAAGTGAAAAAGTGAAGCCTCACACAAGCAAGCAGACGTGACACAGCGGGGACACAGCAGACATGCATGAGCTGCATTATCTCCAATGCACAAACTATATTTGCAGCTAGAGGTGAGTATTGGCATGAGTGTTGCGATACGATACATGTCGCGATACTTGGGTCACGATACGATATTATCACGATATTGCAGTATCACTATATATTGCCATATTTTCCCCAGCTATCAATAGATAAAACAGCAATTGCTATATATTTTTATCAGAAAATATTGATTAGGTATTATTATCCATGTTGTTTGGGGTTTTCTTCCACTGTGACTGCCTCAAATACAGATTTGGTGCTGCACGCACAGTTAAAGGGCTCCACAGCGCTTTCTGCCAGAGTGGTGGTACAGAGGTAGCCCATTTTCCCATCAATGTTTTATGTAACTATTTTTTTTTGTTGAAAATCGATACTAAGATGTGAAAGATCGATATTATATTGGGCAGCCGAATATCACGATATATCGCCAAAACGATTTTTTTTCCCACACCCCTATTTGCAGCGTTGTCTGTAACAACTACAGGGGGTTTGCTGGTCAGCCCCCATTTGTTAAAGTCTTCAGTCAACCTGTTGGCTATATTTGCAGCTGTCTGGCTTGAAGTAATCTTGGTTGAATCTTTCCTGCTCATTTAAATGTGAAAGTCACGCGCGTCACTATAAAACTAATCGATCTCATTCCCTAGATATCGATTTTGCAAAAATTTTATGGAATCGATTCAAAATCGATTATTTTACCCAGCTTTACATCTTATACTGACCATCATGGATGCACATTTAATTCAAAATTTTATATTATAGGAAAAAGGAATGATGAATGATAAATAAGAGCCTTTAAGAGGGTGTGGAGATGAAGTGTTTTTCTGCCCTCCTTACCGTGATATTTCAGCCATCATCTGTCCTGATGGTCCCCAAGGATCATCATTGGTGGCTTCCCTGACCTTAGACTCCACCTCTGAGTAGTTCATCACCACATTGGTTCTACAGATCAAACAAAAAATACATAAATTTTGGCATCTGGAAGAAAATAGACAGTAAAAAAAAGTCTGTAGATGAAAACATGTGGAAAAGGAACAGTTAAAAAACAAAAAAAGGTTGAAGTGGTTTTCATTTCACACGTTACTTTACGTTTCTATGGCATATGTACTCACACAAGCCCAATCTATTCATGGCTTTATCAAGATCCCGCCATATTTAGGGTGTGGTAAAAACCGATAAACTCGACACCTGACAGCACTTAGAAAGGATGCTTTCCAGAAGTTCAAAGAAAAATCAAACAAGAAAACGCATTATCTCCATGAAGGCACTGCTTGCATCACGTGAAGCTGCATATCCTCAGAGAAAGCAATAAACTATGTCTACCAAGAGAATACTTTGTTACACAATGCAAACAATTCGAAACGACCAATACTACGTCAATAATAAAGCTGTCATAACGTCATGAAAAGAAAAGCAAACAATGAATCTGAAAGTCGTACCTCTTCATTCCTCTTAAAGTACATCAATGAGACGCAGAGGAACTATAACACAGATATATATGCTGTATGTTTATTTTTTTATAGTGTTTGTGACTACTTTATATAACTCTTTAAGTTATGCGCACACTAAGTGTGTTTGGCGAACTATTTTACAATCATTCTAGTTTCTATGAGGGATTTAAAGTGTTAATCTTAAGTAACTGCAGGAATGTCACACAGACATGAAACCAAATCTGAATTGAGAAAGGAATCCCAGACAGCCCTTAAAGGAATAGTACACCCAAAACATGATTAGCCTTGATTTTCTACTCACCCCCATGCTGAACAACACTCTGGAGTACTTTTTTGATATCTCAAATGCATCTGGAGATCTGGGAGGCTTCTTGCTGTCTGCTGACATTCAAATAATGGAGGTCTATGGCACCCGAGGCAGAAAGGTCCATAAAAGTCCACAAAAAACGTGTCAATATTCCTCCATACTGCTCGTCCAATGTATTCCAAGTGTCCTGAGTGGGTAGCATCCAGAATTTACTCGAAACGAAGTCATTTAGAATGTTTTGTGATCATAAACAGTAGTATTTCCTAAAAGCGCGTTCACGAGTCTACGGAAACCGCGGCAGACCAAACCGGATGAAAGTGCGCATTCAGCTCGGCAAAGAACTCCTGCTCTTCCTCAACACTGAAGTCCTCAGACATTTTTCTTTCGTTGTTTCTTTCTTTGCACAGGTAAACAGCACATTTCTTCTTCTACGCTTGCATTATCGGCAGAGCAGACGCTGAATGCGCACTTTCATCTGGTTTGGTCTGCCGGCTTCCGTAGCGTCGTGAACGCGCTTTCAGGAAATCCTATACACTACTGTTTATGCTCTAAAAACATTCTAAATGACTTCGTTTCGAGTAAATTATTGACGCTACCCACTCAGGACACTTGGAATACATTGGACAAGCAATATGGAGGAATACTGACACGTTTTTTGTGGACTTTTATGGACCTTTCTGACTCGGGCGCCATAGACCTCCATTATTTGAATGTCAGCAGACAGCAAGAAGCAACCCAGTCTCATGGGAAAATGTACCCCCACTACGTTGGTCCACACTGCAAAACGTAGTGGAGGTACATTAATGGCCATTTTTTTGTGGTACTGTTACGTTTCTTCTGCCTATACGCTTTCTATTGTTTTACGTCCTAGTCACGTGACTTTCAAGATTCCAGCTGGGAGAAGAAAAAAAAATATATATATGGCCGACATTCGCTCATTTTTTTGTGGAAAGATTAATAACTTGAGTTTGTTTTTGCATTAAAATGAGTTTTGATTACATTTCTAGTGAGAAATGTATAGTTTGTTGCCAGAATATTTACTCAGGGAATGTACATATTCACTTGCTTGTTCGTTTCTTGCAAAGATTTTTCAAGATAATGTGAAACTGTAAAATTTTGGTATAAACATGGCTGAGATTTCTCTATTTTTTAGTGGGAAAATCAATAATTTCAATCAGTTTCTGCATTTAAATGGGTTTTGATTACACTTATAGCGAGAAGTGTAGGGTTTATTTACATATTTACTTCGTGAACATACATAATCACCCGCTTGCTAGTTTTTGCTACGTTTTTCGGATCTCGTCAGGATTATGTGAAATTGCAACGTTTTGGCTGCTACCCATCGCCTAGCATTTAGCTGCCGCCCCGATTCAACATTGAATTCTTTGTGATTTAACTCCATCTGACGGATCAAACCCTCGCCACTGCGTGCGTTGCGTCTGAGGTTGATTTTCAGATCAATGCATTATGTCGTGGCATACGGGAGAAACTAATTAAACTAGTTAAAAAAAGGATCATGGGTTAAGATCGGATGTGTTTTATTTGGAAATCTACCGGATCCTTTGTGCATTTAACTTCCTGTTTGGTGCGATCTCATTGATGGATTTTGACCAGATTTTGACCAAAGAGGAACTAAAAAAACAAAAAACAATTTGAATACACAACCAGCATATCTGGAATCAATGACAGAGAGCGACTGGGACCAAAAGTTTATTAATTTCTCCCCATTGATTTCCATTCAAAATGTTTTCGATCCCACCGGGCTCTAGGGAAGGGGCGGGCATACCGCCACCTACTGTTCATGAGTGTGTAGCAACATTGTTTTAAATCTATTAAATTCTATTTTTTAATTTTGTATTCTGAAGATAAATTAATGCTTTCCTTAATCTATAAATATCTTTTATATTTCCTTTATTTCCCAATAATCCTTTAAGACTCCATTCTTGGCCTGTCCTTTCAACTCTTTTCAATTTCTTCCTTTCAGGTCCAGATGTTTTACATTTCCTCAATACGTGTTCTATATTTTCTATCTCTCCACATCCTTCACATTTATCATTATTTTTCCTACCTATTAAGTATAAATTGTCATTTAAATAAGTATGACCTACTCTTAATCTGATCATTATTATTTCTTCCCATCGGTTTCTCTCATTAATATTTCTATTTAATACTGACTTTTGTACTTTATATAACCTTCTTCCTTTTTATCTTCATTCCACCTTTTTTTTTTGCCATTTTTCAATTTCTTTCCTCTTAATAAATGATTTTCCTTTCCCTTTCCCTAAAGGAATTGTAATTGTTATTTGTCTACTTTTCATTCCACCTAACTTTCCATTAATTAGCTTGAAAACAGCACTTTGTAGGCACCCAGTTTCTCTAACAATGGCCCTTTTTGGGTTACCCTCCATGCATTGGGTGTCAGTTCAGTGGCAGTTCCAGAACATTTTCTTAGGGTTGACCAGGCAGTACAATAATGTGCATGTGGCCAAAAAGTAATAGGGATCAAATTCGGTTCAGAGTCAAGCTATTGGGATCAGGCTTCAGGTTCAATTTGCATATTTTCTTAGCCAAAACAAGGATTTGTTGGGCTACTGTAATTTTGAATTGAAAAACGTCCTGAATGGGAAGTCTTCAAACTTGAAAAACAAAGTCCAAAGTTTTTTTTTTTTTTTTGGAATGATTATGACGTGGATGTCTAGGAATCTTCACCAGCTTATCAGGGAAATGAATGCCCACAATGTCTATATTCTCCAAAAGAGAATAACAGAACAGACCTTCATGAGGCCCTTGTTAAAGCTATGCATATATTAATGCATCTATGCTCTTCAAATAACTTTCTGGTTCGACGCAACATTTACATTAAATGGGTTGAGAGGTTGTTTTTTACCAGTAAATACATAAAAGATTCCCAGATGACTGCCGATGCAAACTCTCCCCTATAAAACCTAAAACTAATTCTTATAAGAGAGTAAAATCTGTATTAGTCTTCATTAAATGTAGCATATTGTTGTACATAATCAATTGCTTTATTTTTGGTGTCAGCTTTTGGTCAATATGCTAACCTTAAAAGGTCAAAGTGGGAAAATGTAGTAGTAGTAGACAAATTAGCAATTAGAGGAGGCAATAACAATTACAATTCCTTTAGGGAAAGGAAAATCATTTATTAAGAGGAAAGAAATTGAAAAATGGCAAAAAAGGTGGAATGAAGATAAAAAAGGAAGAAGGTTATATAAAGTACAAAAGTCAGTATTAAATAGAAATATTAATGAGAGAAACCGAAGGGAAGAAATAATAATGATCAGATTAAGAGTAGGTCATACTTATTTAAATGACAATTTATACTTAATAGGGAGGAAAATTAATGATAAATGTGAAGGATGTGGAGAGATAGAACATGTAGAAAACGTATTGATGAACTTTAAAACATCTGGACCTGAAAGGAAGAAATTGAAAAGAGTTGAAAGGACAGGCCAAGAATGGAGTCTTAAAGGATTATTGGGAAATAAAGGAAATATAAAAGATATTTATAGATTAAGGAAAGCATTATTTATGTATCTTCAGAATACAAAATTAAAAAATAGAATTTAATAGACGTAAAACAATGTTGCTACACACTCATGAACAGTAGGTGGCGGTATGCCCGCCCCTTCCCTAGAGCCTGGTGGGATCGAAAACATTTTGAATGGAAATCAATGGGGAGAAATTAATAAACTTTTGGTCCCAGTCGCTCTCTGTCACTGATTCCAGATATGCTGGTTGTGTATTCAAATTGTTTTTTTTTTTTTTTTTTTTTTTTTTTTTTTTTTTTTTTTTTTTTTTTTTTTTTTTTTTTTTTTTTTTTTTTTTAGTTCCTCTTTGGTCAAAATCTGGTCAAAACCCATCAATGAGATCGCACCAAACAGGAAGTTAAATGCACAAAGGATCCGGTAGATTTCCAAATAAAACACATCCGATCTTAACCCATGATCCTTTTTTTAAACTAGTTTAATTAGTTTCTCCCGTATGCCACGACGTAATGCATTGATCTGAAAATCAACCTCAGACGCAACGCACGCAGTGGCGAGGGTTTGATCCGTCAGATGGAGTTAAATCACAAAGAATTCAATGTTGAATCGGGGCGGCAGCTAAATGCTAGGCGATGGGTAGCAGCCAAAACGTTGCAATTTCACATAATCCTGACGAGA